TAATATAATAATAGTAATATAAATGCAATTGTTAAGAAGACTATTATTATTACAACATTATAATAATAATAATAATATGATTAATATTATTATAATATTATATTATAATTATATGTAATTATAATTATAATTACAATTATAATTCTTATAATTATAAGTATAATCAATTGTAATTATTATAATTATATCTATAATTAATTATATTTATAATTGTAATTAATTATAATTATAATTACAATCATAATTATAATTATGATTATAAATATAATTATAATATAATATTATAATAATATAATACTAATTATAATAATAATCATATTATTATTATATTATTGTAATAATAATATTAATATAATAATATCATTATATTAATATTAATTGTATTTATATTACTATTATTATATTATAATATTATAATTAATGTTAATATAATTATAATTATTATTAATTATAATTATAATAATTATAATTATACTTATAATTATATTATAATTATAATTTATGATTATAATTATTATTTTTATTATAATTATTATTATTATTATTATTACTATTGTAATTATTTTACGGAGTAATTATAATAATATTGATAACTATAGTTACAATTATAGAGATAAATATTGTAATTATAATTACAATTATAATTATAATTTTATTTAAATTATATTTTTAATTGCAATTATAATAATAATAATAATAATTATAATTATAATTATAATTATAATCATAGAAATATTCGAATCAGATCAGATCAGAAAGATTCAGATCAGATCAGAAGGATTCAGATCAGATCAGAAACATTCAGATCAGATCAGACCAGATCAGAAACATTCAGATCAGATCAGAAAGATTCAGATCAGATCAGATCAGATCAGAAAGATTCAGATCAGATCAGATCAGATCAGAAAGATTCAGATCAGATCAGATCAGATCAGAAAGATTCAGATCAGATCAGATCAGAACTTAAAAAATTCAGATCAGAAACATTCAGATCAGGCGAAGAGAACAGCTTCTTAGTATTTCTCTTGAGTATTTCTCTTTTTATTTTCTCGGTCCAGCACACTTTTTCTCTCCAGCCACTTCGATTATATAGGCAACCTCAGAATGAATCCGTTGGAGCCTTCTTCTCTTGAATAAAATCAATGCTTGATTCTTGCTATGTTATGATTTAAAAATCCTTCCATCTTGAGGCTTAAGTCAACGAACTCATATGGACATATAAGACAAAGATTAATTATCATAGAGGAGTAAGGAAATAATTTTATTCTCCTACCATAAAGGTGCAACGGGTTATGCAAAATATTTCCACCCCACTCAAGTAACTTAAAACAAGGAAGGCAATTCAAATAAAAATATCTCTGACAACTTCCATAAAGTAAGATATTAATGCTAAGCATAACTCAATCATTTTTAATAAGGAAGCCTTTTAAATCAAATTCAAAAAGTCATGGTCCACTAATAGAAAAGTAATGAAAAGACCTTTCCAATTTACTTATTCGTACCAAGAGTCAATCAAGCATGCACCTAATTAAATATGGAATATATTTCAAACAAAGATTTACCTTTTCTAATCTGTATGGAAAGGGAATATTATACCTACCATTACAAGCATGCAACGGTCCATGCTAGCCAACCTCCATATTCGAATTATTCACTTAATATTTTAATTAAGGATAACTTTTATGGAAGGTGATATATAGCAAAACATACAATACGTAAATGCTATGGCCAACAACCAAATATAATGCAAGCACATGTTATTCATGTATGACACTCATTCACACAAAATGGAAATAAGGACAGTTCTGTCTTCCGTTCCGTATGGAACTGAGGTCGGTTTAGTTCGTCGTTCCACCTACATGGTTAGTCATCAACAAAACCACATACTCAACAATGTGAGACTATCTGCATTTCTCTATTAGATTTTTGTATCTATGTACACTTTGATAGCGTCTGTACTTCGTACTTTCATAGTTTTCAGTCTATACAACGACCAGAGTACATTGATATTTATAAAGTTGTCTTTTTAATAAGAAAATGGCAAGTTGATTTTTTGTGTGTGTTGCACATACTAAATTTAGAAGAATTGTGGAAAGCGTGATTCTATTTACAGTCACCAAATTATTATTTATGCCCAGTCGAACATCAAAATAAATTTAATAAACAATTCTTTATTAAAAATTCTATATCACCCTTGCATGGTGCATCTCGATCTCTAATTACAGCCCCATCAATACGAAATACGGGGCAACATACATTGAGCTGCATCTATTAGCAATCTGGCACATACTTTGACTTTCTATTTTATTTTCGTAGTGTATATGAATAAAGAAATCCAAAAATTAATTAAAAGGGTTTCTTTCATGATCTGCTTTGAAGAAGTTGAATTTATTATTTTGGTATTGTGGTTGATGCTCGTTGATGCAACTTTCATTGTTGTCCTAACCCCTAAGTCTTTGAATTGATTTTGTTACGATATATATATATATATATATATATATATATATATATACCACATACGGGTGTGTGTGTGTGGAGCAAAAAAGGGCAAAGAAGGAAATAGACTACTAAAGTAAACCTCTAGGAGTAAATAAGACACTAGTCTAATTATAGGAGCAATTACACCATTAAAGTAAACCTTTTAAGAGCAAATAAGAAATCAAGCTAATTTTAGGGGTAAAAACACCTTTTTGATGAATTTATTACTCGTTATCATGATTATTTAATGGGTGTACACCCATTAAAGCAAATCTTTAATGAATATTTGCGATTTAAGAAATTCCCCTCGAAAAGTTCACTTTATGACGATATTATACTAGAAAATATGTTGACGGCGCCAGATTTTTTTGCCGAAAAGTGTACTTTCTAGTGAAAAAAATTTTAAATTGCAAAAATGATTAGCTATAGAATCAAATTCGCAAATGATTAAAGTTACATGAGCAATAACGATAACAATTGAAAGTTACAGGACTAAAACTACAAATCTCCCAATTATTTATTACTTTTTCTAGTTAATTTAAATTTTTAAAATTAAATAAGAAGTTAAAAATTATGTCTTAGGTGTCACAACTAATGTGGCATGAGGAATGAAGATCTTTCAAGCTAAGCCAATTAAACTTCATGTGAGATTGAATTGAACCTAAATACAAATTTACCACTTATAAGAGCATCCACATTCATAATACTGAAACAATCAATTTTTTTTATGACACAGATTTTTTCAAAATAATCTTACGCTTTCTAGGTTTACAATAATCTTGAGATAATCCGGATTCATGTTTCAATCCCGGATTATTTTGTCAAATAATCTCACCAAATAATTTTCACTTTAATGGAAAAAGAGTGAGGCTCGATTCCAAGTCATTGCTTGGAATTGAACACGAGATCTCTCTCTTATGGCACTCCCTTCCTACCAGGTGAGCTACGCCCCCGGTGTGTTTTTTCCTCCTAAAATTAGCTTAGTGTCTTATTTAATTTGCTTTTAGAGATTTACCTTAGTGGTCTAATCTTTATATATATATATATATATATATATATATATATATATATATGTAGGGAGTGGTTCTAATGAGAACACTCCTTATTGTGAGAAATGAGATCAAATTTTAACCACACATCTTAGTAAATCAAAGGCTTAAAAAGGAAGAGATACACGAGTTTACCATGGGAGTGCAAACATTTAATAAACAACCTCCACTCCTTAATTCAACCGTAAGTTAAAAGAAGGTCATTTGAGTAATTTTCAAAAAGTATTTAATGTCTATCGGTTGATGTATGTTGTCATCTCCCTAAAAAGTAGGTAAAAATAAATACTTAAATCATATAAAATGTTTGAGTTTAAAAATTGATATAACTTTTTAAATTATAAACCGATTTTAACAAAAATTATATCAAATTAAATAATTTTTTTTATCTTTCATATGAGACCAATATGTCATATATAATTTTGTTTTTAAAAAATAAGTATAATATGTATACAATAAACTACAAAAACATCTCCAGCTATGACATGCACAAGAATGTGTATCGGGCACACAACTACTACTATCTAACGCACAAGAACTAGAATCTAACACACAATACATATAAGAAAAACTAAAAGCAGTATCTTAAGCACAAAATCCAACATCTAATGCACAATGAACAATATCTGACACACAAAACTACAAACTAATTAATATCTAATGCATAAGGATTTCACAGAACTTAAACTAATATATAACACACAAGAATCAATATCTAATGCACAATACGAATATACGCCCAAGAACCGGTACCTAACACATAATAGTATATATATATATAATCACAATGAGTATTTACTACACAAGAATCAGTATCTAATGCATATGAACGAACCTCTTACTCGATATCTTAACATGTAAGGACTTTATAGAACTTATAAAGTACTATATACCACACAATAATAATTATCTAACACACAATGGTTACATAGAGCAGTTAACAATTGCTAAAACATTTCAGTTATTTATTACGGACTATAATGCAAATATTAGACCTTACTTTGGGAAATTAACGTGGCTTCACATTTTGTTTCTAAAAGGGACAACTTAATTCATGGAAGGAATAAAATTAAAAAATAAATATGATATTTAATTAACTCTTTCCATTACTAAAAATGTGGAAGGCATTAATTGCATGATCGGTTGACCAAGAGAGTAATACGTAAATGCCCTTTAGTGGTCTTTGATGCATCGCAGATCGGAACATAAATTGGAGGGTGAGGATTTGTTCTCACTTCTCATATTAAGGGGTGTTCTCATTTGAACCACAATCTATATATGTATATATATATATATATACACATATAAAGAGAACATATACATATATATATATATATAAAGAGAACATATATATATATATATATATATATATATATATATATATATATATATATATATATATATATATATATATATATATATATATATATATATATATATAAAGAGAACATAGATCCAAATAGAAATCTATTTGGAGCCAAAAGAAGTGAAAAATTGTTGTCACTATTAATGAAGCCGTATTAAGTGCCAATCTAATTAATTGTTGTAAGTTATAAATAAAACTTTACAAAATTATTGTCACTATTAATGAAGCATTACTTAGTGAAACCATATTAAGTGCCAGAAAAGTTAAAAAAAAACGAGCCTTTGGATAACAATGAGAGAGAACCTCCCACCTCTCACTAGAACTCCGACAACTTCTTAGCTTTTCCGGCCATGTATGGGGATCTCCGCCCTACACGCCGGCAAAACATTCCCAATGGAGAGTTCCATTCAGCTCTTGATTTCAATCACCGGAGCCGTGACACTTTCTACCCCATCTACAGCTTTTGGGATCCACGACAAGACAAACACAACCACCATGGCTACCCAAGAACAAGGCCTGAGGTACGTCCAATCTTGAAGGGGGATTTCAAGCCTCAACAGAGACGCCGGCGGACCTCCTACTTTAACTCATCAGAAAGGAATCCAGCTTATGAAGCCGGAAACCAAACCAGATTTTTTAGCGACAGGCAATTGTCCACTCTCAAGCGCGTGGACTACCCAGACCGAAATCTCCTGGGACGACAAGGCTATGCTCAAAGTCTCAACCGACCTTCACCGGGTTATCGAAACACAAGGAATCCGGAGGAATCCTAGTGCGAAGTCAGGCGCATAAGTCGACGCCGTTCTCCTCACCCTGCTCTGCAAACCACGACACCTATCTACAGATTATTAGGCATCGATTCCACTCCAGGTAACCCAAATCGCTTCAGTTTGTTGGAAATTGCAGATGAGCCGCCTATTTCTTATTCTCCGGCGATTGAACAAATACCCAGCTCCAATCGTTTCTACAGCGCAAGCAATAGAAATCGGACTGAAAAGAGCGATATCCTGAGAATTAGAGGTGTGACCTCATCTCTGAATCCACCATCACCGGGAAAAATTGATGGTATTACAAGGGACGGACGAAATTGTCACAACCGCAATATTAACAGAGCCTTTCACTCGGGGAACGAGGAAGCATATAGCCGAAAACTGGTGGCCAACTCAAATCACAGGCAGCAGACCTCAGCGTCGGAGGCTCCATCAACTTCTGCACCGGGTCCATCGCCGGTGGCTGCAATCGTCTCATCCCCTGGACCTACGAGTATGAAGCCCATCAATGACAGCGTGTTCGTCGAGGACACATCGACTGGCAACGCACCATCCTTCACATGGGCAGACATGGTAAGATCTGCTATGGACAAAAAACCGGACAAGGTCACCAGCGATGTTCCCTCCTCCAGTGAAAAAGAAATAATTATATTTGACTCTGCCCAAATGGACCCGGAAGAATTAGTACTCACAGGTCCAGATATTTTAATCAAGGAAACCGACAACTTTGAATTCTACGGAGAAGAAGGGTTTGATTCTCTTAAAATTGGATCTACACTCTTCAGATTTGCGGTCAAAAATGAAGAAATTCACATTTTTTAAATTAAAAAATCCTTGCTATCCAGGATTAATTTCAGCACAGAGTTAGGGCCTCACATCTATAATTTTGTCAACCAGTTCGCAATCTCAGGAAATTTTAAATCTAGGCAGATCAGAAAATTTGGTCTGATCATGGTTACTCTGGGATTCAACAACACATGCTGATACCTGAAGATCAATAAAGAAAAGAGGAGCTCTATCCTAATTCCAATGGGCCCACACAATTCCAACCTCAAAGATTTCTTGTCAACTTTTTCTAATTTTGTGAGACTAACTAATTCGGTGCAGGAACCTCCAATGCATTTGGAACAGGAGTCTTCGGCACGCACTGAGGAAACTATCTCCAAGCTCATATTCAATTTTGAAGTACAAAGAGCTTATGCTATAAAACACCTGCCCCACTCTTCTGAGAAGCAACCCATGATACCCCGGCTGCCACAGATCCACACGTACTCAGACGCCTCTGATAGTTTTGATTATTTTGACGACTCTTTCTTCCAAGACGACTTTTTAGGACACGCAACCGAAAGTGATCGTCGTCCTCCTATTTCATACCCCGAAGAAATCCGGAAATCCAAATTCAACAGTGCAATTTGCTGCAAAGCTAATTTCGTAACCTTAGAAAATTGTTTGCCAACAGACAATTTGAACACACAACTCAAGATTGATAGGAAATCTCAAAAAAAAAACAAAAGGCGCCACAACATGAGGATTAGATCTCAGTCCAGAGATTTCCCTTGGGAGTAGTTTTTAGTTTTGTTTAGTTTTTTTATGTACCATTTATCTTACTTCCTTTCTTGCATTGTACTAATTTCTGTTATCAATAAATTTGTCTTTTCTTAAAAAAAATCATATTAAGTGCCAACCTAATTAATTGTTGTAAGTTATAAATAAAACTTTAGAAAATTATATTGAGCATAAATACATTAAATATTAAAAACATATTAGAAAAATATTAAAAGATACATATACATAATTAATTAAGAAGACATAATATAATAAAGTTAAAAAGGAAATGTTCTAATTTCAGAATATAAAATAGAGTATTACAACATATTTGGATACAAAAATTATGTAAAGGACAATGATAATAATCAATACCCCCATTAAATGTGTCCAGAATTGACTTGCATGTGGAATATAAATAAAAGTAAAAATTACTTTGTATGTGATTGAGATTTTTACAAATTAGTTGAGAAAAATAATTTACCTACACATTTTATTAGTTTAAATGGAAATGAGAATTTTTGTTGGGGCAGTTGCAAAGATAAAGTTAGCACAATTTAACAAGATGAGAGAGTAATTGTGTTTTTATAATTAGCAGCAACATAAAATACAAAAATTCATTCATTGAATTCTACTATAACTATTCATTAGTAAATAAGTAACTATATTAAAAATCCGTTGAAATCACAATTTTAAATAATGTTTCCCAATTTTGAAATGATTTTTAGCATTTCCAATTTTGTTTACAAGTCAAATTGGTTCAATGATATTGAATTATACAATTTTACTATTCAACTCACGATTTTCACATCATTGATATGTAGTTCTTATAAAAACATATCGTGATTTTAACAATCTTGATATGTAGCTTTTATAAAACATATATTGAGATGAATGAAGATATATTATGGAGTATAAAATAAATATTTTCACTTTTTAGATGGAATGTATTTAGAAACTTTAAAACACAACAAGATAATAAAAAGTAGTGTCATGTGTTGAATAATCATCATAATTATAATTAAATAACACTACGTATGAGATTGTAATATGATAACAATTGTTATCATCTTCATTAGACAAGATAGGTTAGGGACGAAAGAATACTTATTTGGTAGTTTTATACTAATGGGTGTTGAGGTTTTGCGGGGCCTGTTGTTTGAGGAGTTCTTCTTTTTCTGCATCTAATTATTGAACCTTGAGGTACAAAGAGCTATCTGCTTTTGGAAGTCACGCAGTTCATCATCATCATCAGTTTCATCCCAGAAACCTATGTCACTGTCAGCACTCTCACTTTCATCAGCTTTCATCTTGTCCTTCTTGGAGCCAGATTTTAAGGGTTTGTCGAGCATCAGCGCTAGGGTGTGAGCTAGTTTGTCCACAGCCGCCTTCCCTTTTTCAGCCATCACAATAATGTGAACAAAGTCAGAAAAATCCTCAACATATTGATCGAGTGTGTTGTACACAGCATGGATATCAATCTCATTAAGGTCTTTAGTGTGCCTTATCTGTGAACAAAGCTTCCTCCAGTCAGGTCCAAGTGCAGACAGAAATCTCACATTCAGCTCCATGTTAGATTTGTGCACGCCAATCTTTCTCTCTTTTTTTTTAACCCGGAAGGCAAACCACCAAAATCGGTGGGGCAATTGTCGGGGAACATTTGCCAGGTTTTATTAAGAAGCATAAGAGGTACAAAAGAAGAGGGGGACTACGCCAGTATCTCTTCAGAAATGGCATTCCCTTTCAGAAATACAAAAACAACCATAAAAAGAAGTTAAAATAAAATTTGGGGGGGCTAGACCTAACCCAAACAATACAATTTAAAAATATCTAAACGATGGAAGCCCAAAAAGATCCATGTAATAGGCCTGTTTAGCTGCAATTGGTAAATCAATAACCCTTGTAAATGCCTCGATTTGGGCCGATCCATCAGAAGCTAAGAAGTGGGCAACTGAATTCCCTTCACGCATTGTATGAGTTAAACGATGGTCTGAAGCAAGCCTGGTTTCCTGAAACTCTCTTCTCCAATCTTTCTCATCTCATTGATTAGCTGCAGAAACCTGCGATAAGTGTCTTCGAGAGATTCTCCGAGTTTAGCTCTGAAAGAGTCATAGGCTGTGAAGGTGCTTGTTTTCTTTGCTTTGACTCCAATTTCTGTGCCTTGCATGATCTTGAAAAGTTTGTCCCACATTTCCTTTGCAGTTGACATGCTATCAATCTGCATGTAAATGTCATTCGGGATGGCCTGCAACAGATAAGTCTTGACAAGTAGGTCAGCTCGGAGTCTAGCTCGGTCCTGGTCATCATACTCTTCAACTATCTTGGGTCTCCATTCAACTTCAATAGGTGGGTTGTTCACTTCATTTCTGTCAATGGCAATGAGCAGTTGAGCAGGGCCATTGGTGATAGAGTCAAGCAGTCCTGATGATTGATCCTTACTTTCAAGAAAGTTAAGGACACGGTTCTTCCAAACGTTGTATTCTCCTCTTCGTAGAATATGGGGTCTTGTGTCGTTTCCCATTGACAAAGCGTCCATTTTATAATTGACTGGGCTGATCAGTTGATTGATAAATTCATGTTTTTGTTTGTTTAGTACTTCAAGCAGTAAGTTCATGCACTGTTAATATTGCAACTTTGAAATCGTGCAAGTATGGAGATAGCTCAAGTGTTGACAATGATCAAGTGGAAAGATCGCTCAACTCCAAAGATCGCTCAACTTTGAAATGGGGTAACTCTTGAAATGGGGCAACTCCTGAAATGGCTGAGTCCAAATCGCTCAACTTGTAGATAGATCGCTCAAGTGGAGAAAATAGCGCAAGTTCGAAATCGCACAAGGAGTGTTGCGCGAAGTTGAAATCGGGCAAGTGGCTATTTTGTGCTAAACCTGTTCTTCCTTCCAGAGGAGTTGCGCGAAAAATGCAGTATCGCTCAACTCCAGCTTAACCTGTATGCCAAATTTCTGAGTGCGATTTTTCACAGAATGAAACCTTGCAAGCCTAGAAACACTTTCATGTAAACATTTTCCTGCAAAAATAACAACAAAAACAGAACAGAAAATCGCTCAAGTGCAAAACTTCGCCGATGAAGAATCACGCAAGAGCCTTCAATCAATCGATCAGCTCCGTCTTTGATACTAGATGCTAGGTCCCTGTTTTCTATTTTACAATGTATGAGATATGATCAGTATGAATAGAAGAAGCTTTCTATTGAAGGAAATGAAGTTTTACAGAATGATATGAAAGGTAGCGTAAAAACTTCTCTAAGAAAAATGACACTGCGGCTCTAGGGTATGAGAATATTTGGGAAAGCTTAACCTACTCATTCTCCAAAGTGGCATATTTATAGTCTTGGAGAATGGTAGGTTAACAATGATTGGGCTCCAACTTTAAGGAGGCCCATTCCTATTTAGGCAATTGAGCCTTTACCAAATGAAGGCCCATTCTATGAATAAATAAGCTACTACAAAAAGGCTATTTGAAAATTGATCACAATACAATTAAAATATCTCTAACAAAATATTACTCTTATTTTAGGAATAAAAACATGGCAATTCTATTTTGAAAATTTCAAACTTTTTGACTCCCGTTTCGAGAACTGTCACAAAATAAAAAACATAAAAGTAGTTACTATACTAGAAGACACTTAGTTGCTATACTTACGAGAAAAATTTTCTTATAAAGAAATTTTGTTTCCAAATAAAGATTTACACCTTGAAACTATATATTCTTCTAGATATATACTTTATATTCCTATGGATATAAATATTTATTCTTATTATTACTATTATATGTATTATTATTGATAGAACTATTGTTGTTATTAAAGGTTAAACCATCCTTGCCATTAGATTTGTGTCATTGAATCATTGAATGTGCATAAAATTAGGATATAGGTTTACCATATATATATATATGGTGCATGAGTTGGAAAAGCAATATCAACTCCTACTTATTTTAGATTATTATAGATTTATATGATTATAGATTATCAACTGAATTATTATTATTATTATTATTATTATTATTATTATTATTATTATTATTATTATTATTATTATTATTATTATTATTATTATTATTATTATTATTATTATTATTATTATTATTATTATTATTATTATTATTATTATTATTATTATTATTATTATTATTATTATTATTATTATTATTATTATTATTATTATTATTATTATTATTATTATTATTACTATTATTACTATTATTATTATTATTATTATTATTATTATTATTATTATTATTATTATTATTATTATTATTATTATTATTATTATTATTATTATTAAGCAGAAGCAGAATCAGTTTCAACCCCCCCCCCCCCCCCCCCCCCCCCCGGGTGAAAAGACCTTTTTTGATTATTCTTTTTGTAGGTCAAGCAAAAGATATGTTCCTCCATTTGACCTCTACAATAAATTAAATATTAGGTACAAGTATATTTTATTTTGCAGGCCTTGTGAGGATGAAATGTCAAAAATTCATGGAATTCATGAATGTTACTATGAGTTTAATTTGTATTATGGGTTGTCAAAACATATCATTCATCTCGAAGAACACAATGAGTCAGTTTTATAAATATGCTAATGTTCTCATTAGATAGCATGTCTATATAAATTTATTATAACACACTAAACATGCTAATTTTCTCTTCTAAAAAGAATTGATCATTGTTTTATAACTAGAATAACCCTTCGCCAATATAGTTCATTTTGGGCACATTGTGTGTTCACATAATTAATTTAATAATAAAAAACAATATTTAGTGTGTTGGTAAACATACGTACAAAGTGCATTGACTTGAGGAATGATGTGAGTAATTACGCAATGATTGGAAATTTAATTTTCTAATTAAAACCCCTACATCAAGTACACATACTGCAGATGGAAGAAGAGGAAATTCGCGTAGTGTTGATGAGGGATTGTATTGGAAGACGCCGGTAAAGAGAAAAGACGGTGGCATCTGGTTTTGTATTACAAATAAATTAGTCAAGCGGGATGGAGATAAATACAAGAAGAAAGTACTTTTTTGTAGCTTTAATTTTGGTTTCT